GCTATAGTCACTACTTGGTCTTGACTAAAGCATCTTCATGACAGGCTACAAAAATATGTTATTTACATGGTCATATATTCAACAGACACTGACTAGAAAATGTCATTTTATTGTCAACTTCATGGCGATAGATCTGTAGGATGAATTTAAAAGAAATGCCAGTTTCCCCCAAAGCCAGCGTTTTGCAAAAATTGTAAAGGAAGCAAAGGCTGTCTTTAGTATCCTTAGTTCCCTATCTCTCCACCCGCTCTTCATGTTCCTGGTGTTCTATTATGGAATCCAACCTGCAGGAATGCAGTACCCTCAACTACCTAATAAGCTTGCTCCTCATTCAGATACAATGCCATCTATACCTTACCTAAGCCCTATGCTCCTGGAAAAGAGTGTCGATTAAGAAATTCCCTTAACCTTTCCCCACCCCTGAAATTCTTCCAGCCTTTTCTGTTTTATGAAATGGTTACAAAAAACAAACAAAAATAACCAAATTAAAAAACACTTTTCCATATGACTTATTAAAAAAAGCTCTCTGCCCATTCTCTCAGGATTTTCATAAGAATTGCACATGACTCCCTTATTTACTGGGGGTCAAGACCAAACACAAACCAATCCCCTTTGCTGGAACCTGCTGAAATATCAGATACAGATGGAGAGGGAGGAACCTAGAAGTCCCATTGGATCAAAGTCCTCTCTGTGTCCCATTGTTTCAAGATAGTCCACTATACGTTTGTTTACTAAATATTACCTCTTTTTATCTCCTTGTGAATTGCCTTACTGACCCCTTCTTAGTTCTGAATGACATATATACCTCATTTTGCCGGTCTTTAGCATTTTCATGCTTATATAAATTCTCCATGTCTATGTATTAAAATTTGATTTTCTCCTGTTAATCTGTCATTTCATTTGAACAAACAGAAGAACTAAGAAGGAACGTTTCCCCGTCCATAACACAATTTATATTTAGTTTGTATTATATTATTATAAGAACAGATGAAAAAAAAGAAGAGGTGAAACCACGAGTCCTGGGTTCTAGTTCCAGATCTCTCTGTGCTGTGTTTTTGACTTGTCTGGACCTCAGTTTCTTCATCTTTAAATAAGAATGTTGGACCCGCTAATCCTTACGATTTTAACATTGTATGTTTGTTGAAAGATTACATTGCAATTATTTTTAGTTCAATTTATGGACATTACATGACTCAAGCCTAGGACATGTCTTTTATTATTCATATCCTTCTCTTTGTTTAAAGTAGTTGTTACATAATGCTTAGCAGTTAAAAAGAGTTAGTTTTAATACGTTTGTAAAATTTTAAGGTAGTACAGGCTGTTTTAGTACAATGCTTTTAATTCTATAAATGTTTATCAAATAATAGACAACTGATTTTTTTGGTAAATCCAACATGTGGTTGTGATTTATATCTTCTTTTGGAAATTAAATTCAAATTATTCAAATAAATTAAAACATTTTAGGATACTCAATGTCTATAATAAAATATTATTTTTTAATCTCATTTGGAAAAACTAAGTGGTGAGAAAATTCTTTATTTTCCTAATGAGAAGCAGATACATATAATTACAGTTAATAGAGAACCAATTACAGTAGAATTTGATTATTTTTAAGTACCATTCTACTTTTCCATTCTTCTACTCTGATGATGAAGGTGATGAAAATTTTAAAATAATAGATATTAAATTAGTAAGTAGAGATCATACTTTAAAGAAACATCTAAATCCCAGGAAGGCTGTCATTCATGGGAAAGTTAATGCCAGTTTGAAAGTGGGGACTGCCTAATAGGATGTCAATAAACTCAAAGTCATTTTCCAATCTTTTGGCCTAATAATTACTGCTAAGTAAAACAATGTGCCTGGCACTGTGCTATATGCTTTACTTCCATTGTTTCACTTATTCCTCACAACCCCCATATGAGACAGGTCCTATTATTATTATTCTTATGTTACAGATGAGAACACTGGTTCAGGGAGGTTGTGTGAATTAACTGCCTGAATTGGAGAGCCAGTAAATGGCAGTGTCAATATTCAATGTCAGAATCTGTCTGACTCCAGAGTCCAGACTCTTAACTACAGTGCTACAATGCCCAATTCTCTAGGAGAATAAAGAAAACAATGTAAAAAGAATGATCTGGTTTTTAGTTTTATATTTTAATTCATACAGCAGCACTAAGACAAGCTTCTAGAACTGTACTTATGGGGTGTGTGATGCTAGAAAGTCATAAAAGGAGACATCTGACCATTTGAAAATAGCCTTACATTACATCTTTTACAAGGTTTGGTTTAGTATACACATGGCACATGAAAGAAGAGCACTGTTTTTACTTGGTAAGTCATATGTAGTGAAGAACTAATATAGCAGAAGTATAATGTCTAGTTATCATTAAGTTTTTGCTCAGACTCCTATGAAAAGTCAGTTTAACATAACACCTTGGTGTATATGGCATTAACTCTTAATGATTTGCCTTAATAAAGTATTAAATTGAAATCAGTTTGACCAGCCCATGTGTTGATATAATTGAGCAGAAACTTAAAAAATATTTTTCATTTATGAAACTTGTCACACCATTAAAAATATAGGTGTGTAGAATTTCTTGAAAATATATCATGAATAGACTTTAGGGCTTTGCTTTCATTGTGTAAAGTGTCTTTGTGGTTTTCATATAGGTTTTGTATGTGGATTTCAATGTAGTATAGAAGTTAAGAGGCAAGGCTCTGGAAATAACACCACCAGTTTCTAGTTCTCTGACCTTGGTCAAGTTACTTAACTTCTCAGTGCCTATTTCTCATTTGGAAAATGGGAACCATAAAGTTACCTTCATGATATAATACATGCTAAGTGTCTGGAACAATTCTTGCCACGTGATAATTGCTTCATAAATTTAAGTCTTCATCATCAAACTACTTTGTGGATAAGAATGATAGAGATCTGAGTTAAAATATAGAAATGAATATGCTCTAATGACAACTGTTGGGGGAGGAAGAAATTTTATTCTACCCTTCTAGGTTCTTTTGGCTAGTCTAATAATTAAGTCTACATGAGACTGATTAACAAGAGAAGATAATGAGATTTAATTAATTAGGTATGTATGGGAACCCCACCTACATGAAAGGTTCAGAGACAGAAGGGAAAACAAGGTGTATGATATTCTGAACTAAGGGAGAGAGAGGGAAGATGCCCTGAAGCTTCAGAGGGGAAGAGGGTAATTTGCAGGATGACAAAAAGAGCAGATGTTCAGTAATTAGACGTTTGCCCTGCCCTATACATAGGTCATAAAAAGTTATTTCTGGTGATAATTCGTATTATGGGCTAGGCCCCAAATTTAAATTCTCTAAGGGAGAACAAATTTAAAATCTCTAAGGGAGAGGTAAAAGTTTCTCTTGAGGCTGCAGGGTCTCAATTGCCTTCAGCTCAAAATGATCCACATGCCCAAGTGGCACATCTTGGGGAGGCCTGTCTGAAGCCTTTCAAAGCTATGTGATGATCTTCTGCTGTCTTGAATGTTTAATTTTCCTCAAACAGATAATTCATGATTTTCAGTATAAATGGCAAGAAATGCTACCAAGTGGTGGCTCTTGTACTTGCAGATAAGAAGAAATCGAATAGTAGGCGAGAAGGGAGAAAAAGTCCAAGACCAAGTGTATTGAGACCCTTCCCTCTGGCAACTGTGACCCTTATACTACCCATCAGCCCCTCTCAGCAGCAACAGTAAAATTGTTAGGAAAAGTCAGCCCAGGCTAGAAACAATATTTCTAAATAAAGCAAACTGCATCATGAATTGAAAACTAAAACAAACCATAACATTTTCCTAAACCTGAGCATTAATTTTAACTGAGGCATAGACCAAAGCAAAGTTACTTTTTCAAAAGCAAACAAAAATAAAACAGAACAAAACCCATGAATTACCCCCACCCACAAAGAAACGAAAAAAACACCAGTAATGAGTAGCAATCCAAACAACTACAAAACAAAATATTTTATTTGGAACTAGTGAACCAAAATAAAACTTTCTTACCTCTATAAAATTGTAAGCTTTTTGAGGATAGGTTTGGATCATTCATTCACTCATATGAGGGTGTCTTCCAAAATGTATACACACTTGGAATAATTATAAAGGCAGTATTTATTAAAATACATTTCATTTTCAAAATGTAAGATCTGTCAGTTGTTAAAGTGTGCATACATTTTTGGGGGACACCCTGTATATGATATCATAAAAATATTTAGGATAGTGCTGGCTTTACTTTTTGTTTTCAGTATTTACTTTTTGGATTGAACATGGCTAGAGTCCCTCTGTACTGAATCCTATTTCAAGAGAAATTATAATAAAAACTTCCAGCTATTTTCAATGCTTATATATTAATACTAGGTTCATTCAATGTGAATAAGATGTTGGGAGTGCTGGTACTGTGGCATTTATTGTAAATAAGTCAGGCAGTTCAAGCTTATGTTGTTTAAATTTAACAATTCAGTACTCAAAGTGCTTTTTTCTTTTCTCCAACCAGGAAGAATTCATGTTCCCTAACTAGAAAAAATTCATGTCCCTGCACTTTGACATAAACATTCACCCTTATGTTAAGCATAAAAGGCTTTTTCTTATTATAAACAGAAGAAATTTCCATATACCCTTTGTAAAATGTTATATATAAATGCTGGACTTGGGCACAGAGAACTTAATAAAAATCCCATGTTGCTTCAGGGTAGTTATATGTGAAATGCAATTTCCATTGTATTGAAATCTCCATCTAGTAAATATTTATCTATTTTTAAAATTGCCAACATATTTGAAAAGTTTAATTGGTTTATACTCAAGGCACTAGAGAAAGGAAAATTTGCTTTCAGAAGGCATTTACATGTATTTATTCTGTCCATGTAGAATACCTCTTTCAAGTGTTTGAGAATTTTAATGTGAAGATAACCCATCCCAGATTTGGTTCTAATGACCAAATTAGAAGAAAAGTAATCAATAATCAACCCATCACTTTGATCACTGTACCTTTTTTCTCTGATTTATCGGAAACTTTTCCTCCAATTGGAGAGTAAGTAGTATCCATGGATTCGGTCCCTCTGTTCCCTTTGCTAACTCCATTTTCATAGAGCTGTCCTTCAACTGGTTGCAACTGCCAAGTCAGGCCGAACAAATGTACTGCTGCAAGAAAACAAGCCATACATGAACTTATTCCAGACTCGCTGAGAAGGTCTCTAAACCAGCTGTTCCTTTGAACCTAAAAATGTCATGATCAGTTTTCTTATAGTTATCCCAACTAATTTGGATTACATACCTATATCATACCTGTAGCCACTTTTCTAAGTAGCTATTGTTAAATTTTAAGGATTAGAAGTTGGATAGTATTTTTTTTATTATTATATTTGCTGATCCTCACACAAGGATATTTTTCCACTGATTTTTTTTTTACAAAGAGTGGAAGGGAAGGAGGGAGGGAAGTAAAGAAGGAGGAGGGATAGAGGGAGGGAAGAAGAGAGAGAGAGAGAGAGAAACACCGATTAGTTGCCACCCTGACCGGGGTCAGGGATCTAACCTGTAATCCAGGTGCGTACCCTTGACCTGTAATCCAGGTGCGTACCCTTGACTGGGAATAGAACTCATGACCCTTTGATGTGGGGGCTGACACTCTAATGGTAGTATTTTTTAAAATCGCCTTTTGGGAAGGCGATATAGCACCATTCAAAAAATATATCTTAGCCCAGCTAGTATGGCTCAGTGGTTGAGCGTTGACCTATGAACCAGGAAGTCACAGTTTGATTCCTAGTCAGGACACATGCCCAGGTTGCTGGCTTGATCCCCAGTGGGGAGCATGCAGGAGGCAGCTGATCCACGATTCTCTCTCTCATCATTGATGTTTCTGTTTGTCTCCCTCTCACTTCCTCTCTGAAATCAATAAAAATATATTTAAAAAATATCTTAAAAACTTGGCTTACCTTTCCATCCAAGAATTTCTATGAATTAACAACAAAGCTATTTATTGTAATATTTAAAAACCAGTACCATGTTAGGATCAATCTAAATTTTCATAAAAAAGACATTAATTAAATAACTGGTAATGTTATAAATAATGTAAGATTACATGGCTAGTAAATCATGTTGCAGAAGACTATGTAATGCCATGGTAAATGTTTATAATGCATCAAATGAAAACCATCAGGCTACTAAATAGTATGAATAGTGCAATTTATAGTGTGTGTGTGTGTGTGTTCATGTGTGTGTGTGTGTGTGTGTGTTCATGTCTGGAAAAAAGGGCTGGGAGGATATATCCCAACATGATAACAGCATGAAGGCCTGGCTGATGGAGGGTTTTTATTATCTCCTTTATGATTTCTGTGTTATCTGTTTTTTTCTCCAATGAATATGTGTGATGTTTGTCATAGGGGGAAAAAGAAATTTTTGTTTTTAAAAGAAATGGATTAAAAGAATAATAGATTAAAATTGGCTGGGCCAATCACAGATGATATAATAATAGAACTTGAAGGATGTGTAGGGTTTTGACAGGAGACAACAATGGGAGGGGCAGAGGGGTAGGTTGTACAAAAAAATGACTTTGTAAAGCACGAGATGTCTCTGAGGTAAAGGAAGTTGCTGGGGTTGAGTCTGAATTTAGCTATGTGTAGGTGGTAGTGAAGTTAAGGCTGGAAGGATAGATTAGGGCCGTATTGTGGAGGACACTGAATGCCACACTAAAGATATTTGGATTCTATTTACTAGGAAACAGGCAGGCATTGCTATTTTCTGAACAGATGAGTGATACAATCAGTTTACTTTAGGAAGATTAATTTGATAACAATGGGGAGCACTGATGGTTTCTAGGCAAATAAATTATGTCATCAGAGCACCTTTTGTAGAAATATAAATCCTGTAGTAGTGGGGAGAAGAATGAATGTGAGGCCTAAGATTTGACAACAACACAAATTGGGAAGGCATTACAATAATCAAGGTGATAAATGAGTGTCTCAAATAGAGCAATGGCAGTGCAAATGCAAAGAAGGTGATTCCTTAAGGAGAAATTACATGAATGTTATCTCAACATTTGGCAACAAGCTCTGCATCTGTGTTTACGTGTGTGTGTGTTCCTGCATGCTTATGTTTATGTGTAGGTGTGGGGGGTAGGCATAGAAAAAAGTGAGGGAAAGAAAGAAATCTAAAATGGTTTAGGTTTGGGGCCTGCATAACTGAAAGCATGGTAGAACCATTAATATAGTTAGGGAATTCCACACATAGCTGAGCACTAGCTACAAATAGTACTGGACATGTGCCTATTGACTGATAATTAGTTGATTTGGGGCAGGATGGGTGATGGGAGGAATACAATGAATTCATCTTTGGAGATTCTGAGTTCCAGGGATCGATGGGTTATCCAGATAGTCATGGTCAACACAGTTTTGGAGGCCTGAAGTTCTGGAGAAATATTAAGGCTAGAGCAAGACTGCAGAATCATATATGCACAGAGGCAACAATTAAAGTTAATAGGGTGAATGAGGGAAGAGAATGTTAGGAGAAAATGGTGTCTAGGACAGAAGTTGGGGGAATCTTTTTATTTGTTTTCTCATTGCAATTTTCAACATCAACCAAATATTACCTAAAGGAAAAAAGTGCATGTGTTCATAAGACATCTTATATATTTCTTTATGTGCTTAGGCAGAATGAAAGGTACTACTTTGTATGACTAGCACTCATATATAGTATATGAATTAGCAATTGAGAACAGGAAAGCCAGCCAGATAGACTATTTAAAAATCATTCATCCAAGGAGGGGAAAATGGCAGCTGAATAGGCAGACCTGTCATGCACCTCATCCCAAGGCCATACTGGGAATACAACTACATTGGAGAACTTTCACCTGGAATTACCAACTGAGGTCCAGCTGAGGAGGAGACATATCAAGGAAGGACAGAAAACACCCAGAGACTGCACCTCCACAACAGCTCACTCGATATGGCCAGGGGTGAGCCACATAGTCAGCCAGCCTGTGAGGAGATTCCATCCATGAATGGGAGAATAACATTCAAGACCCAACTACAACAGGAGAACCCATATAACTCAAGCAAGAGACTTTCCTAGAGCCTCGAGCTCAGGAGATCTAAAAATGCACCACTGGGTCCCACAAAACACTGACTACACAAGACCACCCCACAAAGTCTGGGAGGCATAGCAGTTTGATCTAATACACAGAAATAAATACAAAATGACAGAAAAAAATGGAGAGACAAAAGACCCCCAAATGAAAGAAAAGGAGGAATCACCAGAAAAGGAATAAATGAAATGGAGGCAAGCAATCTGTCAGATAAAGAATTCAGAGTAATGGTAATAAGGGTGCTGAAAAATTAAGTGAGAACTACAAGCAACTTAATGAGAATTATAAGAAAATTAATGAGAATATTAAGGAACCTAATGAGGGCTACACCAATATGAAAAGAGAGGTTGAAAGAATAAATAAGAATCAAGTGGAAATGAGGAATGACATAGCTGAAGTAAAGAACACCCTGGAAGGATTCAAGAGTAGTCTAGGAAAAGATAGGGACAAAATCAGTTAATTAGAAGACAAAGTAGAACAAAACAAAACACACACCCATTTGGAGCAGCAAATGGAAAAAGAAATTAAAAGCAGGAGGAGAGTTTAAGGGAACTTTGGAACAACATGAAATGAAACAACATTTGCATTTTAGGGGTACCAGAAGGAGAAAAATCCAAGCAAGGAATAGAGAACCTACTTGGAGAAACAATGACAGAAAATTTATGGTGAGGGAAAAAGTCACTTAAGTTCAGGAAATAAAGAGAGTTTCAGCCAAGATGAACCACAAAATACCCACACCTAGGCACATAATGATTAAAATGGGAAACATTAAAGACAAAAAGAAAAGAATCTTAAAGGCTGCAAAAGAGAGACAGAAACTTACCTATAAGGGAGCCCCCATTAGACTATCAGCTGATTTCTCCATAGAAACACTTCAGGCCAGAAGGGAGTGGCATGAAATATACAAAGTGATGAAAACCAAGTGACTGCACATAAGACCACTCTATCCAGCAAGGCTATCATTGAAAATCAAAGATGAAATAAAGAGCTTCTCAGACAAAAACAGGCTAAAATAATTTATTACCACCAAACCAGCACTCCAAGAAGTGCTAAAGGGACTGGAGTAAAAAGAAGACATAGAGAGAAAGAGAAGAACAGAGAAGAACACAGGCATAAAAGGTAAGAATGGCAGCAAATAAGTACCTATCAATAATAACCTCAAGTGTAAATGGCTTAAATGCTCCAATCAAAAGGCATAGAGTAGCTGAATGGATAAGAAAACATGATCCATATATATGCTGTCTATAATAAACTCACCTCAGAACAAATGACTCACACAAAATGAAAGTGAAGGGATGAAACAAATTTTTTCAGGCAAATGGAAATGAAAAAAAAAAGCTGGGGTAGCAATACTCATATCTGACAAAATAGACTTCAAAGTGAAAGCCATAATAAAAGACAATGAAGGCTACTTCATAATACTAAAGGTATTGATACAACAAGAGGATATAACTCTGGTAAACTTGCAGGCACCCAAAACAGGAGCATCCAAATACATAAAAAATCTGGAGGATTTTAAAGGAGGGATAGACAGCAATACAATCATAGCGACAGACTTCAACATCCCACTAACATCACTGGATAGATGTTCTAGACCAGTGGTTCTCAACCTTCCTAATGCCGTGAACGACCTTTTAATACAGTTCCTTATGTTGTGGTGACCCCAACCATAAAATTATTTTTGTTGCTACTTCATAACTATAATTTTGCTACTGTTATGAATCATAATGTAAATATCTGATATGCAGGATGTATTTTCATTGTTACAAATTGAACATAATTAAAGCATAGTGATTAATCACAAAAACAATATGTAATTACATATGTGTTTTTTGATGGTCTTAGGCGACCCCTGTGAAAGGGTCGTTCGACCCCCAAAGGGGTCGCGACCCACAGGTTGAGAACCTCTGTTCTAGACAAAAAAAAAAAAACTACAAGGAAACAGCAATCCTAAATGTCTGACTAGATCAGATGGAATTAATTGACATTTACAAAACATTTTACCCCAAAGCTAGAGTATACATTGTTCTCAAGTGCACATGGGACATTTTCAAAGATAGAC